AAGCGCGAAAACCCCCGCGCGACAAAAAAGGGCGCAAAGCAACGAAAACCCCCCCCCCAGCGCCCGCCAGCTGGGCTCTGCTCTAGGAAGGAGGCTCTGGCAAACCACTTCCGAAACAATTGCCTTGAAAACTGCAAGGACTCGTCCAAGCAGTCACTGCAGAGTCGGTAAGGACTGAGCGCAGATTTAAAAAAAAAAAAAAAAACCATCCAAGATATAAATTAACATTTTGTAAATTAAACGTATGAAAAATTGAATATTCTCTCTCTAGAAATATTCAACTGTGGTCCTAAAGCCTAGCACACAACTCTCAGCAGAAAGAATACCACTCTTTTCATATAGCTTTCTGTAACTGTTGCTCAATTTACTTTTTCTGAAATTGAAACATACAGAACAATTAATACAAGTACTTGACCTACGTTGTTATCAAGTGGAGCATTTGATAAGAAAATGGTATAATTTGAAAAGCAAACAGATCAGTTTGCAGTTTGCTTATTAAGATTTAATGTGTGCTTATTAAATCTTAAATACAGAACATTCTAAATATTTTCATATATCAACTTCTTTTACCTAAACCTAACACTTTGAGATGAGACTATTTCTATGCTACTTTAGAGGACAGGATTTGGATTGTCCACCCATGATTTTATTACAACTGTACAACTATAGTACAGTGCACATGCAGTCACTAAAGAAATATGTATGTGCACGTATGTATATCTATGTGCGCACATTAATACTGGATTATTGCCAAAGGACAAACTTTCTGAAGTTCAACATATCATGATGACTCCAGGCAGGCAGGCATTGTCCATGAGCATGGCAGAAGCCAATTATTAAAGCATCATCATACACACAAATACTTTATAAATAAAATATTTTATTTTCAATTTCAAAGACCAATTTTATGAAAAAAAAATCATGATTAGGTAACACAGTGCACTCAGAATCTCCAGATGCTTTGGGCAATTCCCAAAAGTCACAGTCTGCATGGCCAATGACAAGGGATTACAGAAGTTTATTCCAAAACATCTGGAAATAATGAGCTTGTTAGTTCTTAAAAGAAGCGTGCAATATGCGTACCTCTTAGCCCATTAGTGGAATACAGTTTTTACATCCAGAGGCTCAAGGAAACACCATACAACTTCAGTGAAAGGAATCAGCCAGTAAGAGATGAGAAAAAGCTCTGCCTAGTTGCAGAACTGCTACAAGTCACAATTTATAATACTAGGTTAGAAAGGCCAGGAGTCTGACTCAGAATAATGCAATTTCAATGTTCCCATAAGATGAATAAAATATTAACTCACTTCTTATAGCACAGAGAATCTAACCCCCCCCCCCACACACACAGCACTGAAAAGACAACTTCAGAAGGTTACTCTTTCAGTACAAAAACAGTTATTTTAATTATCTTGATATACTGTTTCACAGCATATTTAAACTTCACCAGAGCTCCATGTTTGAAAGATAAAGCAATTCAAATTCTGCCAGAATGCAAGCCCACTATGTATATTAAAAAAAACCTCCTGATGATCTAAATCAGTGTCCAATTTATATTTCACAAAAGACAGGAAAGAACATGATCTGCTTTACCAAAACTTTAATTATTTCTGTCAATGCAGCAGAAGCTGAAGTACATTCTCATCTATTGTTTTCTATAAAACGTATCTTCAAAATATCTATCAAGCATCAAAATTATTATTACATTATGTTAAATGGGAAGGGCTCACATGTGCTCTAAGACAATTGTTCTGTGCATAAGCAGCCTAAGTACTTAATTTCATACAATAATAGTTCAGCTGGATACTGAAGAATTTCAACAAAAATTCTCAAGTTAAGCTCTTTCCTATACTTTGAGTTGAAGACAGGGAGGCAGTACAAATTGGCACTAACATTTTAAATTACATTTTTTCAATAGCAGTCCTAGTTTAATGCTATATCCTAATCCTCATTTCATTTCATGGATATGTTTTCTATTTTAACACACATCTTTCCTGGAATATCACTAAGAGTACTTTTTATTCAACCATCCTACTTCAATGGTGGATTTAAATGGTGGATTTCTTTAAATGACCCAGTCCAGCCTGGCCCACTCTAAGGTAGCCTTGTCTAACCCAATCTCTAGAACAGGATTTAGAAAAATGGAGCTCAATCTTCCATTGTCTATTATGGGAAAAATTAAAGCAATTGTAAGATTTTGTTTTTCACCAGAATAGGATGAAAGAAATAGAAAACAGCATTATAATTGAAAAAGCAAATCAAACAATAAAAATTGATGCAGAGATTCTGAACTTCTGTAAAATCTGCTTTAAAATGTTGTGGCATTTTAAAAAGATGAAAAGGTATTATTAATTAAACTGTAGGCTATAATAATAACTCAATTCCCTAGAAAAAAAATCAACAATCAATAAAGGTGAATGAATATCTGTAGCAGGCACACAATCAAGCAGCAAACACATGCCAATCAAAGAACTACTAGAGGAGCAAAACAAAACAAAAAACAAAAAAAACCACCCTTACCAGCACTGGCAAGGCAGGCCACAGCACATAAATAGAAAGCAAACCCC